AATAGAATGGAAACCTGAAGTTTTTTTATTAGGAATTATGTCTGCAAAATACAAAAAAGAAATCCAGTATTTAATACTACATAATTACGGCAGCAAGGATTACCTTTGCCCAGAAATGGAAAAACAAATTAATTCCATAAATATTTTTCATCATGTTTGTGCTATCCTTAGCAAGCTATGGTTTACTAAACATTTCATCATATCAATTAAGTCCGACATCATAAGTCTCATAATTTCTTAGAAGACATTTTATGAATTAATTTAACTTTCCTTTAAAAACTTGAAAGGCTTACTTTTCAAACTTTTCAAAAACTTTTCACTGAATCTGAAAAATGTTCAGAATAGCCAGAAAACAAAATCCAGCCCTTTGCCCTGGAGACTGAGGTAAATCTTGAGGCCACACCTCCATTCCTCCACTGACCTCCCAGATTAACCAACAGTTCGTAGCAGAGCACCTGGAAGGAAGGGACAGAGAAAGAAAAAGAGAAAGCACACAGACACATTCTTCCTGCCTGGCCCTGACTGACCACTGAGCTAAATCAGGCCCTGGCGCGGTGCGCCCAAAAAATGGGGGGGGAGTGACTACTCCCATGCCAACTTCGAAACATGCAGTTCAGGTAAGACCAACTGACAGTTTCCGAAGTGGGGCGTGGGAGGAGTCACACATAGGACATACCAAAGCTAGATGTCCTTGGGAGGGATCAATGGGCCTGAGCCCCTCGAGAGTCTAGGACTCCCTGGAGAACCCTCCTCCCAAAGACCGCTTCTGCGGAGGTGTAAGCATCTAGTCGGTAGTGCCTGATGAAAGGCGAGGGAAAGGACCAAGCGGCAGTCCTGCAAATCTCTTCTATGGGAGCATGGGTAGCCCAGGCTGCTGAGGGTGGCCGCACTTCTGGGGGAGTGCGCTGTGATGCCCTCTGGAACCTGAAGTCCCTGTGCCTCGTAGGCCTTCGAGGTGGCCGCTCTGATCCACCTCTAATGGTGGCCAGATGCCTGAAAGAGGGTCTCTGAACATCTAAAGGGTGCCATGCGCTTCAGATAGATGCGCAGGGCTCTTCTAACGTCCAGCCGGTGCCATGATCTTTCCCTCGGGAAACTTCCCTCAAGGGTTCGAATGGTGCTTCCGTCAATGCCTGGAGGACCGTGGGCAGGTCCCAGGTAGGGAATCGATGGACCACTGGGGGTTTCAGATTCACCACTCCCTTAAGGAAGCACCTTAGGACCAGATGTTGAGACAAAGTCGGTGAATCCACACACCCCAGGACCGTGGAGAGGGCAGAGAGTTGTCTCCTAAGGTTGCTGGGGGCCAGACCTTTCTCCAGACCTTCCTGTAGAAAGTCCAGAACCTGGGGTACGGAAGCCGAAGCTGGAACAATGTCCCTTGCTTGGCACCAGTCTGCGAAAGCAACCCAGGCGGCGTTGTAGATGCGAGTGGTGGACTGCCTCCTGGACGCCTTGATGGTCTTAACTGATCTTGCTCAATTGCCAGGCGGTGAGATGGAGCCACTCAAGATCAGGATGCTCCAGAGACCCCTGTTGCAGGGACACCTTCCCCGGGGGAATCCTCCAGTGAGGGGCTGAGGAAAACTCCACCAGGTCTGCTAGCCTGAGGTGACGTGGCCAGAAGGGAGCCACTAGTATCATCTCTGCTCCCTCTGACACTAACTTCCTCAGAACCCCGGGGACGAGGGGAAGGGGAGGAAAGGCGTAGAGAAGACCTGGTAGCCATCTGCAGCGAAGGGCCTCCGTGTCCATGGCTCCCCTGGACGGGAACCTTGATACAAAGCTCGACAGCTGGGCATTCGCTGGGGTTGCGAAGAGATCCACCGTCGGGCACCCGAACCTCTCAGAGGAAGACGCTGGGATGGAGCTGCCACTCTCTGTTGTCGACCGTCTCCCTGCTGAGCCAATCCGCTTGCTGGTTCTCTGTCCCGGAGATGTGTTCCGCTCTGATGGACTGCAGATGCCTCTCTGCCCAGTTCCCCAACCGGAGGCCTCGTCACGAAGGTCCTTGGAATAAGTGCCCCCTTGCCTGTTCATGTGGGCCTTGGCTGCCACGTTGTCCGTCAGGACCAGGACGTGGTGACCGGTCACAGTGGTCTTGAAGTGACGTAGGGCAAGATGAATGGCCCTGAGCTCCAACCAGTTTATGTTGTTGCACAGGTCTATTGGAGTCCAGCGGCCCTGGGCTATCTGGGTCTCCAGATGTGCTCCCCAGCCGAACAGGCTTGCGTCCATTGTGAGTACCTTCCCTTGTCTAGTGCTGGTGTCAGCCACCAACGGAGCGAGAGCAGCACCTGGGGTGACACTCGAACTTTGAAGCTGGTGTCGCTCGTCCTGGCTCTCTGGTATGGAAGCAGGAACCACTGAAGCTCCCTGGCGTCTAGGCGAGCCCAAGGCACGATCCCTATACAAGAAATGAATTTCCCAAGGAGCCTGGAAAGAAGAACTACAGGGACAGAGCGTAATTTGCGTATCTCATGGACCAGCTGCACAATGCTGTCCCTACGTTCCTGGGAAAGAAAAACTTCTCCAGACACCGAATCTATAATGGACCCTAGGTGTTGTAGTCTGGTAGATGGGACTAAGTGGCTCTTCTCGAGATTAATCAAGAAACCGAGGGACCTGAGGGTGTCGATGGTGAGCCCCAGGTCCTGCCTGGCAGTGTCTGGGGACCTGGCTAGGATGAGGATGTCATCCAGGTAACAGTGGAATCGGACTGGGAAGGAACGAAGGAAACCTGCAGCCGCGGCCAGCACCTTGGTAAAGCCCAAAGGGAAGGGCCCTATGTTGGAAGTGACTGCCCTCATGGGAAAATCTGAGGAACCAACAATGTTCAGGCACGATTCTGATGTGTAGGTAGGCCTCCGTGAAATCGATGGAGGCCAAGAAATCACCCTGTTGGATGCTTTCTAAGATGGATCTCAGGGAGCCCATCTTGAACCTACGGTAGACCACCCTGGAGTTGAGTAGCTTAAAATCCAGAATGGCTCTCCACCCCCCTGAACTCTTGGGGACCAGAAACAGGTTCGAATAGAATCCGGAACCCCTCTCCCTCTCTGGGACCTTCTCTATGGCCCTGATGTCTAGCAGGTGATTGATGGCCTTAGCCTTAAGGGCCCTTTGGCCAGATCTGTGGAGGAGGCGAAGGTGCAGAATCTATTCAGGGGCTGCGATTGGAACTCCAGCCGGAGCCCAAGCTTAACCATCTGGAGGACCCATTCGTCCAAAGTGACGTGCTCCCAGGCATCCGCAAATAGGGTGAGGCGACTGCCGATGGGGTGAGCCGCGATCG